GGGGAGCCCGGGCCGCGGGCAGGGGGCGGCGCGGACCCTGCAGCCAGCGGGACCTTAAGTGCCACACGCATCTTCCGGGACGTGGGGGCCACGGACATGAAGTACAAGAACCGCGTGCGCAGCCGCATCGCCAACCTGAGAGACGCCAAGAACCCCGCCCTGCGGCGCAACGTGCTGCGTGGCGTCATCACGCCGCAGGAGATCGCCGTGATGACGTCGGAGGTGAGCCCCCGGGGGCGCGGGGGGCGCCCCGCGGGTCAGGGTTAAGCCGTGGCCCTCGCTCAGGAGATGGCCAGCGACGAGCTGAAGGAGATCCGCAAGGCCCTGACCAGGGAGGCCATTCGCGAGCACCAGATGGCGCGCGCAGGCGGCGCGCACAGCGACCTGCTGGCCTGCGGCAGGTGCCGCCAGAAGGACTGCACCTGCACGCAGGTGGGCGCGGCCCGGGGACGGGCGCTGCTGCCCTGGGACACGGCGTCGGGGGGGCCGCCGCCCCGTCCGTGGGGGGGCGCGCCGGCAGGAGGAAGTCGGGGGTGCACCGGGTCTGAGCCCCGGCCTCGGGGCGCGGGCAGCCCGGCTGCGCGTGACTGAGCCGCACCCGCAGGTGCAGACGCGCAGCTCCGACGAGCCCGCGACCACCCTCGTGGTCTGCACCGAGTGTGGGGACCGCTGGAAGGTAGGGGCGAGCCGGCCCGCCCTCAGCCGGGGGGGGGGCGCGTGGGGGGCCACCTCGGTCGCCCCCCGGAGCTGTGGGCGCGGGGGGTGGATCCCGGCCCGGCCGCGGGGCCCTGCGTGCTGCCTACAGACCCCGGGACTGGGTTTCTTGTAGTTCTGCTGAGCCCGCGGCCGGCGCGAGGCCACTTCGCCCCCGCCAGCGGCAGCTCCCCGGAGGGCTGCCCTGCGCCCGCGGCCCGGCCGTGCGCCCTGACGCTCTTGTAGCCCAGTGATTAAACGTTTTCTTTTGTCTCGGAGCTGCCCTCCGTCTCCCGGCCGGGCCGTGCGCAGGCAGCCTCTGGCCAGCGGCGGGGCGCGGCCTCCCGGAGGGTCAGGGCGCTGCACGCGCCCCTGGGCACCCGAGTGCCCGCCTCCCGCGGGCCCCTCGGCCCACACTTGCCCAGCCCCCACCCGCCCAGCAGGCTGGACACAGCTGAGGGGCGCGCTGTGGACGAGCCGGCGGGGGAGGGGTGCCTTGATCGCCCCCCCCCCCAGGAACGGCGGGGGTTTGCTTTAGAAAGAGCAGCCGCGGGGAGACAGCCTGTTTGGGGGAAGAGTGCAGGTCGGCAGCATCGGCACTTGTTTCTGAAGACACAGGGCACAAGTCCGCGTACAGCCAGGACCACGCTCAGCGCCCCGGCCAGCGCCCTCCTGGCCTCGGAGGGATGGATGAGGGTGGAGGTCCCCAAATCACAGAGACAGACGGACAGGCCCTGTCCCCCCCAAAGCCGGCCGCCGTGGGGTGGGGGGGCAGGGGAGGGGCTTCCTCGCCAGCCGCTGGGTCTGCTGTGGGGGTGCCGGCCCCCAGGTCTCGCTCCGCAGTCCGGCAGCGCCCAGGGAGCTCGGCCGGCCTAGGCCTCGCTGGCGGGCGCGGGGCCGGCCCGCAGCAGCAGGGCGCGGTAGGCGGGGGAGCCCAGGAAGCGCGGGTAGGAGTCCCGGTGCATGAGCCTGTAGATCTGCAGCTGGGCGTCGTCGAAGGTGTGCGCCGACGGCTCCCGCATCCTGCTGTTGATGCCCTCCCGCACGCGCGAGTCCAGGCTGACCTGCGGCCCCACGGCGGTCAGGCCCCAGCGGCTGCCCGCCCGCACAAGGGGCCCCCCGGGCGCCCGCGCCCGACCCCGCCCGGCCGCACCTCCTTGGGGGACAGGATGGACACGTAGTCCTCGTAGATGAGCCGGGCCTTCTCGTCCACCACGTGCTGGTTGGCCTCGGCCTTGAGCTCCTCGCAGGCCAGCCAGAAGAGCATGTTCTCCTCGCTGTACTCCGTGCGCAGGAACTCGCGGAAGGCGCCGCGGCCGGCCGGGCTGTGCATCAGCGCGTCGAAGGAGCGCGCCCAGCTGCGCACCTCCTCGGGGC